TAGAGGGGTGCAGGGTGGGGTCCAGGTGACAAGATGAGCAGTGTAGAGGGGTGCAGGGTGGGGTCCAGGTCGTCTGCTACAAACAGAACAAATTGAAGGGAGGAGACTTTAGTTTCCACAGGTTAATACTTCACTCACAGGTGAGTTTGGCTGTGAAAGAAACATTCCAAACCTCCGAGCTCAGGTGCTAACAGTACTGTACTGATAATGTGTACTAATACTGTGTGTACCGTACAGTACTCTGCTGATAATGTGCGTACCGTACAGTACTCTGCTGATAATGTGCGTACTGTACAGTACTCTGCTGATAATGTGCATACCGTACAGTACTGTACTGATAATGTGCATACTGTACAGTACTGTACTGATAATGTGTACTAATACTGTGTGTACCGTACAGTACTCTGATGATAATGTGCGTACCGTACAGTACTCTGCTGATAATGTGCATACTGTACAGTACTGTACTGATAATGTGTACTAATACTGTGTGTACCGTACAGTACTCTGATGATAATGTGCGTACCGTACAGTACTCTGCTGATAATGTGCGTACTGTACAGTACTGTACTGATAATGTGCGTACCGTACAGTACTCTGCTGATAATGTGTGTACTGTACAGTACTGTACTGATAATGTGTGTACTAATACAGTGTCACTGTTCCTGGATGAGCATTTTTAGAAACGTGTTGAAATGAAACCTGCTCTTGTGAGTATGACCTTCTGTGTTGAAGATCATTTTAGCTACCCCTTTTTTTGCTGATAGTGAGAGTACAACAACTTTTTGTTGTAAACATATTATATTATGGTACACACAGTATGTTTGATACTCTCCGTCCGTCTGTGTGTACATCCATTGACTTTCTCTTGTACAGACTGTAACTTCTAATTTAATGAAACTTGATACCAGATGAAGAGTTTGTTTGTCACACAGACGAAGCGCCGTGCACATTTTACATCAGTCTAGCTACAAGATCAAGGTCACAAATCAAGGTCAAATGTAGGCCTGTCAGGATAAACAATAAATCAATTAATCGCATGATCAATGAAAATTATCGACCTCATTTTCATTTATCGGCTTTATCGTTTCTTCGTGTCTCTCTTTCTACTGAAGACACTGGATGACAAAAGGCTCAACTCCGGTTCTTCACTGACCCCTCCCTTTCTCTTTTCTCTTTAAAATCCGTTTCAACGACCCAAAATCACGTTTTTGCATCGTTAAAGCAGCTAAGCTGAGACGCTAAGCTACGAGCTAAGGTAACAGGATGACCTCAGGGAAAAAACCTCCGTCTTGTCGAAGCTCCAAAATTCACGGTTGAAACTCGTGCTCTTGTGTAAAAAGTTGTTTTTGTCTGCAAAAAGAAGCTGAGATCTTGTTTACTGATTTTTCATTAAAAGCTTTCTGTGAAAAATGTTAAAGAGCTCAAACCCACCAAACGTCTGCCATTTTGAGAACTGAAGAGAGACAGCCCATGTCACGTCAAGGGGCCTCCCTCCCGTTTTCCTAAAGAGACACGCTGCTCGCTCCCTCACTATCCATCCTTCAGTTCAAACAGTCTTATACTGCCATCTGGTGGTCGAGAACAGTACTACATGCAAAGCAAATTAACCAACATTTCTTCTTAAATTTGTTCCAGTATTCACATATTTGCAAAATAAATGACAGGAAAACTACTAAAATGAGTCTTGTACTGTTTGTATAACCAGTAAGATTCAGTTTTATGTCAGTTTTGGTCGAAGCTTGAAAGAGCCGCTGCAGAGGGACCAAAGGGCCGCGTGTGGCTCCAGAGCCGCAGGTTGCAGACCCCTGAGTTAGACTGACTCAAAGGTCAGTCAGTTCTACGTGCACATGCAATGGTTCATCAGATGTTTCACTAACAACAGAGAAACAAACAGAACAAAATGTGCAGACACGTTCGTGTCCTTTCACCTCTGGCAGATGATAAATCCTGACTGTGGTGTTTCTTTAGGGTGGTGTCAGCTCCGCCGTTAGAGAATGAACAGCACGTCCATGTTGTTGCACACCTCCCCCAGTTTTAATCATGGCCAACCAGACCGGAGCGTTAACTGTGTCCGAGTCCTTTCTTATTATTAAAATGTGCTTTTAGAGCACACACCAAGTGTTATTTGTGCTTCATTTGACCCTTTTATTAAACCTCCCGTTTGGTTTTGCAACTTCATCTGCACACGTGGACGTTCCTGTTAAATGCTTGTCTTTTTAAGAAAGGTGCTGTCAGTATTTTACAGTTCTGTCAAGTCCTATATGAACAAATTAAAACGTTTAAAAATTGCACTAAGTGTGCAAACATTTAACTACCGTAAAATATTTAATGATGGTTTGTTTTGTGTTTTGTTTGTTTACGGTCAACTTGCTGATTTGATGAAAATTGCTACAACTTTATCATTTCTTCACTCGTTTTCAGTCTAAACCTGCACCGAAAGGCCGTGAGTGATACGCTTTACTTCAGTGAATGCTAGGTCATCAAGTCAAGGCAAGGTTCTTTATTGCCATTCGCATCTTATGTGGTACATGAGGTGGAATGAAATGATGTACACAGGGTCCCAGTTACATCCAACTGAAGTATAAATTGTAAAAGAAAAACAGTAATAAGATCTAAGATATGAACTAGAATGCACTAAAGTTGAATCAGCATCCAGTGATTTTTATTACGTTATTGGTAGTTTGGTCAGAGGGTCAGGGGTTAGAGCAGTCAGCCTCCAATAGCAGAGTGTCGACTCCTCCACTGTGCAGTCATGATGTTTTCTACTTGTCAGCAACAAAAGCCAATATGAGGTCGGATATTACAAGTTTGCCAAACTCAACCTGGCCACTCTTCACTCAGATTATCATCTGGGCAGTAGCAGCAAATCCTCGTACAGTACCTGAACGCATCACAGATGAGTTTAAGCTCTGAGTACAAAGCAGGAAATTCCCAGAGTCCCCATCTCAATGTTTTCAATGTTTTTCCTTTAGTTTGATGAAACACGACGTTAATGTTACGGCTAAAATTAGCTAAAGTAGCTCAAACTGAATTCTTAAAACTAAAAAGAACTAAACACTAGCTAAATACTAAAAAAAAAAGCTAAATTTGCCTAAAAGCTAAAGTAGTAAAAAAAAAAAAAAGGCAAAAGTAGCAAACAAGTAGGAAGAAGATTCATCCATCGTCTTTACTCACTTCTTACTTTTTGGGTCACTGGTGCCCATATCCAGCTGTCACTGTGTGAGAGGTGGGGGACACCTGGACAGGTCTCCAGTCCATCACAGGGACACCTGGACAGGTCTCCAGTCCATCACACAGACACCTGGACAGGTCTCCAGTCCATCACACAGACACCTGGACAGGTCTCCAGTTCATCACAGGGACACCTGGACAGGTCTCCAGTCCATCACA